AGTTGGTTTGACTATCCTAGTTTAGTTGGAGAAGGACTTATGTAAAAGTTGAAAGTGAGGAAGCCAGGTTGGAATTGGACTACAAGGGTCTTAAATTCCAGTTTTAAGCATTTGACCTGCATCGCGTAGACAACGGGAAAGTAGTGTCTCGGCGACATTGATCTTGCTCTTGTGGCAGTACATATAATCTATTGGAGGAAAAAGAGACTGAAAATAGGGAAATGAATTAGCAGTCCAGGTGTGAAACAGTGAGGGCTAGAGTGGTGGTAATGATGAAAACGAAGGGTTCAAGTGAGAAAAACTTGAAAAACAATTGATAGACTTAGTGACTGATTAAATACAGGGGAAGAAAACACAGATGAGACAGTGGTTGCTTCGAGCTCTTCAACAGAAAATATCTACTATGCTGCTAGAAATTCAGAACCATCCTTTAAGATGAGAGTTTCAGACTGATTTGAGCTGTATTTTTGGATACAAAAACAACTTTTTTTTTTTTTTTTTTTTTTTTGCGGTACGCGGGCCTCTCACTGTTGTGGCCTCTCCCGTTGCGGAGCACAGGCTCCGGACGCGCAGGCTCAGCGGCCATGGCTCACGGGCGCAGCCGCTGCGCGGCATGTGGGATCCTCCCGGACCGGGGCACGAACCCGTGTCCCCTGCATCGGCAGGCGGACTCTCAACCATTGCACCACCAGGGAAGCCCAAAAACAACTTTTTTATGCATAAACCACACCTTTTCTTCTACATGTGGTGTGGGTCTCAGTAGGAACTCACATTTGGTTAGCAGTAATAGACATTTGAAACTCCTACATCTTAAATTTTAGTTTCCATTGATTATATAGTAGCTAATTTGTTCTTAAGTAGGTGATAATAGAGATTGAACTCTTAAAATAGAGACTGATTATTATGTCAATAGAACGTGACTTTTAAAAAAACTCCTTGAGACTGTAGAAATGAAGAAAAATATATTGGAAACAGGTTTTTGGGTGTGTACGTGTGCGTGTGTGTGTGAAATCATTGTGACCCAGCCACGTGAGACAAAAAAAAAACCCAAAAAACTCCTACTTTTATTAACTCTGGTAAATTGAATAACTGTTTTTTGATAGGAAAAAAATAAAAGAATTTTTTATTGTTGTTGCTGCTCTACCTGGCAAAATCAGTTGTAATAAGGGAGGGTAGAGGCAAAAAAAAACCCCCAATAACACATTTTTCTGCAATGAGAAGCCATAGTAGATGAATCTGATATAGGGCCTGGAAAAATGAGATGCTAAAATTTCTGGTTAGAGCATTCATTTTTTAAAGGGATCTAAGAAAAACACTAAGAGCAGCATCGATATAGCTGCATGATAACACAGAAAGGATCTTTGAAGAGAGCTTGGACAGCCTGTGACTTGGTTCAATTGCTACCACATTGTATAAACTCAACATATATTGACTGATTCAGTGCAATGACTACATCCATGTGTTGTAAAGAGTGTTGGGGAGCAGAATTCAACATGTGACTGCTAGAACCGGGTTTGTGATTATCTAGCTGAAGACCCTAAGCAAGGTCTCACTCTATCATGCCAAGTTCCCCCATCCACTCAATGGGAATAGCATATTCTCCAGTTTACAGAATTGTAGGCAATAGTTTAAAATGTTTGTATGTTTTGAAAAACATAAAATTTTATAAATATGAAGGGAAATAAGATCATCTTATTTGATTGAGTAAAATAATTGTTGACTGTTTTCAACATAAAAATGAATGCAGCTAATTGAAGAATCACACAACTAGGGGGAAGGAGGCCTGCCATTTAGGAAGAAAAACAGACATTATTTTGCATTATAGTTTTAAGTATTTGCTCTGTCCATCATTTTGTTCTACTCCTCTAGGGACTCACGTAATAAGAATATTATTCCTTCTTTGCTGGTCTTCCATTTCTACTACTTTCTAAGCCTTTTTACTTCTTTCATTTTATGATTTTTATTTTCTTGGTTGCTTTTCTGCCTTTCAGTGCCCCTTATTCAATTTCTATTTGAGTCTATTTTCCTTTGGGCACTTTGCGATTTATTCTTTATTTCTGAATTAATTTTGTTTTTGTTTTTTCACTTCTTTCCTGAGTTCAATCAACTTCTTTTTATCACTTCTCTCTATTTAGGTTTGTTTCTGTTTATTGTATTTGAATTTCTAATTCAAGTTGCTTTCTCATATCCTTGAAGGCTGAGTTGAGCATATTTCATCATATTTGGAATGTTGATTTTTTTTCATTTTCTTCTGCTTCCTGGTTATTTTGCAGGAGGGAGGATTTTATTCAGTTAACCTATGTGACATTTTGTTTCTTGATATTTTACAATAGTTTAATATGGATTTATTGAACTTCCTCTTTAAGGTATTTAGGTGTTTTAAAAGATTCCTAGCTTGATGTCATCCTAATTTATTAGTAGAGCACAGTCCAGGTACTTTGTCTTTTTGTTTGTTTATTTGTTTTTGTATTGGTGTGGTGAAACAGAGGTTATAAATCCTCTGGTTTATGGTTCTCTTTTGTTATGACATAGCCTAGATTTCCGCCATGTATACATATACATCTAGGACTTTGAGGCAAGCCAAGGAAGACCTAGAAAAGCTTTCCTAAATGACAGGCCTCCTTCCCCCTTGGTTGTGTGATACTTCAATTGGCTGTGTTCACTTTTATGGGGGAAATAGGCAAAAATTATTTTACTCTAGGCTATATATATATATATATACTTTTTTTTTCCTTTTCCCCTTCACCACCCAATTGGCAAAGAGTGATTTTCCCATTCTTCTTTGTTCTATTTTCTTCCCCAGAAGCTATATATTTTGAAAAGTACCCCTTTTAGATTGAACCTGAGCTCTTAAATCATGTGTACTTTGAACTTCCTTCCCTATAGTCCATGCTCTGATGTGCCTGGACACTTTTTAGTATTTTGGGTGAACTTAATATTCCTGAAACTTGTTTTGATTCCCCCTCAGAACTCTTCATTAGTTTCCTCTTTTTTCCTTCCTGGAGTTTTTCTAGGTCTGCCTTTGCTTGCCTCAAAGCCCTGCAACAGGGCAGGGGTGGAGTGGGAACAGGAGAGAAGGTATGCAGGGTTGTGGTGATTTTTCTTTTTTTGCTTATAGTTGTTTTGATGTTTTAGTATTGTCTATCTGCAAATGGTGTTGAAGATATAGTTTTATGTAGAATTTAATTTTATCTTCTTTTCATTGTTTGGGGCAGTATTGGGGGTTCAGAAGCTATGCAGATGCCACTGTCCTTAGCCTTGCAGAAGTACTGGGATTTCATGTATACCTGTTATGAACATCTGTGTACAAGTCTTTCTGTGCATGTATATTTTCATTTCTCTTGGATAAATGTCTAGGGATGCAATTGCTGGATAGATATACATTTAACTTTTTAAGAAATTGTCTGAGAGTTCTCTAAAGTGTTTGTACCAGTTGGCTCTGCCACTTGCAATAGAGAGAACTATATATTCTTCCAATACAGACATTAGAGAGGATTGAAAATATGCCAAGTTTTGTCTTCCATTGTTGCTGTTGAGAAGTCAGCTGTCAGTTTTATTGCTTTCCTTTGTATTGGATCTTTCTTTTTTCTCTGGTTACATTTAATATCTTCTTTTTGTCTTTGATGTTCTGTAATTTCTCCATGATACAGATGTGATTATTTTTATTTATAACACTAGAATTTCATTTGGCTTTCTTGGTCTCAGGTTTAGTGCTTTCCCATAAGCCTGAAAAATTCTTTGCCATGATCTCTGACAATTGCCTCATCTCTTTATCATATTATTCTTCAGAAATTCAAAGTTCTAGTACATTGGAGCATTTTAAACTATCTTTAAAATTTTCCATTCATTGGTTTGTTTGAATGTTTCTTTCACATAAATTCTTTGGTTCTGTGTTTCAATTCAATAATTCTCACTTCACCAATGAGCATTATGCTCTTAAATATGTCCAATTAGTTTTGCATTTTAATAATATTTTAAGAGTTATGTTTTGTGCTTTTTCAGTATGATTGGATACCTTTTATGGACTTTTTTTCCTTGCTTGAATTTTTGAGCTTGTCTTTTATTTATTTTTTCATATTAATCATACTTATTTTATATTTGATTGCTGATAATTTTAATATCTAGTCTTTAAGGATATGAATTGGCTGTTAGTCTGTTCTTTGAGATATCATCCATGGTACCTTTTCCCCCGTGTTTTTTTTTTTTTTTTTTTAATGTAAGCTGCTTATTTACCGTAAAAGTTTTTGTATGGAAATTCATTCCTACTTGGGTTAAAATTATATTCTTCCAAGAGGATTCATGCTTGCTTCTGTTGACTCCCTCAAATAATAACAAGCCAGAGACACTTAAAATTAAATTTCCCTCATGAGGCTTTTCAGACAATAGTTACTATATATTAGAGGAGTGATATGACTGCAACAAATTCTTAGGGGAGAAATTTTGTTTGTCTGTTCCTTTTACTTAGTGCCAAGTTTGAGACAGTCAGCTTTTCTTCCTCTTCTCTTCTTTGTGGCACCTTCATTTTTACTTCACCATTACACTGGTGGTGTGTCCATTGAGGTCTTACCTTGATATGGAGGCTTTCTTATTACATTCCCTACCTTATCAGGTTCTAGGCTTTATATCCTGTTTCCTCTTCCATGAAATCATCAGTGGAAAATCAAGGAAATCTGGATTTGGCCAAACACTTCATGGAAAAATTTAAATTCGTGGGTTCCTCTTTTCACTAATTTTTAGCCACTGTGAATTCTTTGATACATTTTAATTTTTCCTATTTTTTTTATTATTAATTTCATTGGATTTTATCTGGTTCATTCTCCAGATTCTCATCTGTCATTCTGTTAGATCTGGAAATCTGTGTGCTTTTTTTTTTTGCAGTACGCGGGCCTCTCACTGTTGTGGCCCCTCCCGCTGCGGAGCACAGGCTCTGGACGCGCAGGCCCAGTGGCCATGGCTCACAGGCCCAGCCGCTCCGCGGCATGTGGGATCTTCCCGGACCCGGGCACGAACCCGTGTCCCCTGCATCGGCAGGCGGACTCTCAACCACTGAGCCACCAGGGAAGCCCCTGCGAGCTGTTTTAAGTGGCTGTTTAAACACTACTGGAGAAGCTAGGTAGGTCGATGAACTTACTTTTTTTGGAGTATAATTGCTTTACAGTGATGTGTTAGTTTCTGCTTTATAACCTTAGATACTTTTTTGATGCTTCCCAGAAACATTAAGAAAATAATTATGTTTCAGAAATTAGGACACATTCCTTGTAGCACAATGTTTATATCAACAATCTACCCTTATTTGAAAGTATATTGTAATGCATGTAAGACACCAGTGTCTCTGTGATACTCTCTTAGCTATTTCTATGAAAAAACATCAGGGAAACAAAGAGATTAATTCCAATTTAAGTTTAGTATGTTAATCAAAATGATCTCCAAGTTGTACAGTGCCAGTAGTTTTCAATCAGACTATTGATAACTATAGAGAGGAAACACAAGCAGAAAGAGAGCATTTTCAAGGTAGATGATTAAAGTAACACTTTTAAAAACTGTAAGCTGTTTAAGGGGTTAATTTGTTTAGCAATTGAAAAAAACAAAAGCAACAATAATTTAAAAATGAGGATAATTTGATTCTAGAAACCAGTAAAGTTGATAAATCCTACTGTAATAAAGGAATCAGCAAGGTAAAAAAGTAATTAGCTTTGTTAAACCAGAACCATTTGTATGTGAAATTTATTTTTAAGAGGCTTACATTTTAATTGTAATTATTTTTTATTTTGATTTGAGTAACTCTAGTTCCAAAGTTTAAACAAAGTCAAACTCAATTGGCATACACCTATTTTATAATATGACAAAAAGCTCTATGGTACTAATATAAGATTTTGGACAGACAATGCCATCATCTCTAGTCCATCGGCAATTGAACATACATATATAAGCCTTTCTTCTGAATGTTGAAAGTATCTTTTAAATCTTTATTTTCCTCTAAATTAAAAAGCAACCTAAAAACATTTCAACTTTTTAAAAGTGCTCAGTTTTAATATTCTGGGACTAAGTGGTAAGAGCCAGGAATTGGACACTTTTTCATATATAATTCATAAATATATACATACTTTTGTATTCTTTGTTTATTGAAATATCCCCTCCTATTGAGAGCCATCCCCTCCTATAGAGAGCCATAAATTGGTTATTTATTTTGGTATCGGTCAGATCTAGCTCAATGCTTGGCAACGTTTAGGTGCTTAGCAATATTGCTGAATCAATAGTGTAGGGGATTTCTGAATTTATATTTCTGAATGTTTGTAATATACATATTTGCAAAGTTTTCACATACATGCATGCCTCCATACTTTATATATGTGTATATCTTTAATTCTGGAAGTTTCTATGGAAATAGTGTATATATAATCTTCATTTTTCTCATGTGAAAAATGAAGCCTTCAGAGATTAAGAAAAATAATTGTTCTAGATCACTATACTAGTGTGGGCAAACTGTTACTATAACTGAGATTTCCTTTTTCAGTTACATGTGCATTTATGTGGGACACGAGGGAATAAATTCACCTTGTAAGACAAAATAATCACAGACTTCGAACTTCCAGTCTCCCACCTATTCCTGTTTAGAAATACTTAGGTTCTTTGGCTGGTATCCAGAGTACAACATGGACATTTAGAGGTTATCTATTTCAAATTGCTTCTTCTTAAAAGGAAACCCAGTTCCTTCAGGATTTATTTAGGTTATTTTTCCTTATCTAACTCTATTCAGAGTTGAAAGCATTGCAGTCAGATTTAGCTATTCTGCCTTTGTGGGCTTGTTCTGATTCTCCTTTTGTCTGACCACATCTATATATTATCCTACATTTATGTAAGTTTTATATTTGAAAGCACTCCTACATCTATTATCTCATTTTATCTTTACAACAACCGTCTGTGCTGCATAGGGAGTTACTATTATTACTGTTTTCCAGCTGGAGAAAATGATACGAAGGTTAAGTGGTTTGTTCAATATCACATAATTATTAGAGGAGCCACAGGACTAAAACCTAGGGGTTTTAAATCTTAGCCTATGTAAGATCATACTGCATGCTTTTCATATCCATAGTGTAATTAATTTATTATATATGCAAGAAATATAAACAATACTTTATCAAATATTTGATTAATGACTCTAAATATTTTTAGTTAAGAGTAATCATTTGATTTTAGCATGTTCTTGTTCATAAAAATAAGCATGTCACTTTGCTTTAATGCTATTTATTCAACAAATGTCTTGAGTTTTTACTATACACTAGGTTTTCTTCTAAGCAATGTTTTTTACCATGATGGTAAAAATCAATTTTTTAAAAGAAAATTAGTGCATTTTCACTTAGCGAAAAGGAAATATTATGTGAAAATTTAGAGTTAAGAAGAAGTAATTTGGACCTCCTCCAGTTTATACTATATTCTTGTTTACAGTATTATGGAAATATATGGGAGTTGAGAAGTCCAAATACCATTTTGACATATATGCCAAATTATATTCTGTGGTCATAAAACTGTATGTATGTATTTTATGTATACAAAGTAATTTTGTAACAATAGAATAAAATAAATCAATGCTTTATCTTTCATCATAGGAATAAAGTATTCACATAAGTGAAATTTCTAGACTACTGAATATCAACTTTCCAACTACCAAGTGCTAACAATTTAGATGAAAATATTTCTAAAATCTAATACATAATTTTATTTTTTCCTAATATTTATCTTTAAATGTTTATGATAACTCAACCTTGTCTTCATGCTTGCAAGTGTTTCAGTATATTATAGTGAGGAGCTCTAAGGCACTGTGTGCTTGGTGGTTCTCCCGGCTTTACTTTTTCTTTTTAAAATATATTATGCTGTCAGCTTCTAAAAACACCTTGCTGAATGTTTGTTTTTAATTTATTTGCTGCATACTATAACTTAGAAAAAAGATAATGTTTGAAAGGTAAACATGTAGGTAGCTTTAGTTTAAAATTAGCTTTTCATTAGAGACAAAATTATACAACAAAACAACTGAACATAAGTGTATGGATAATGTTTAATCTCACTAATAAACAAAAATGCCTATTAAAACAATAAAATCTCAGTTTTATCTCAGCAAATCAGTGAATTTTTATATTAATGCTCAGATTTTTTAAGTGTGAAAAAATGGTCATTTTGTATACTGTTGCAATTTAGCAATATGTATTAATATCTATAAAACAGTACATAACTTTAGCATAGAAATTATACTCCCATGTATACTAAAAAGTTTAGGTAATTTCATGAATATATAAATAGATACATATATACATATATTGTATATTATTCCTTTGTATTTTCTCTCAGAGGCAGAAAGAGGTAGATAGGGAGATGATAGATAGATAGATAGATGATAGACAGATAGATAGAGAAAGAGGTATGTGTATTTATATAGAGGAGGTATAATAAGTTATTAAATAAACAATCAAGTTTTAAGTGTTCTATGTTTAATAAAATATTTATATATTTATGAAGACATAGAAATAGAAATCAGCCTGGAATGGTGTTACCAAAATGTCAACAATAGTTATCTCTAGGTGATGACAATAGGAAGGATTTTATTTATTTTTCACATATCTTTATAACAGTTTTTAAAAAAATCAGCCTATATTAATTTTATTAAAAATATTCATCTTAACGGTATAGAAAGTAGGGAGTAAGAGTGTTCAGGCAGTAGAATTAAGGGACAATGCTATGTCCGTAGAAGTAGTGGCAGGTTATAGTCTAGTAGGAATTGACATCATTTTATTGAGTAAAGCACATCTATCTGCCAGACACCATTTGTATATGTGCCATTTTGTTCAATCCTCACAATGTATTATTTTCCCATTTTACAGATATGGAAGCTGAGACTGAGAGTAACTTACCTAAGGTGCTATTTTGCTTTCTTTTCAGCAGTAACAGTATATATATTATGTTACCTGGAGGAATTCTAATGTATACAGATTCTAACCCAAAATTCCAATGAAAGGTTGTTTAAGATTATAAATTTTGTTCTCCCTTACTTTGAAAGGTATTCAAATTCAATATTATTACAGGGCAATATATGGCAAGTCCATAGAAATTACTATTTTTTTGAATATATCTTATTACATGATTATTACATAAGCAGTGGTTTAAGTTCTATGTGAGATAAGGATATATAAAATTCAGTCTTTTTCACAAAGGAGCTACAGAAACAAATTTTAAAAAGAACATCTATATACACTACTATATATAAAATAGATAATCAACAAGCACAGGGAACTCTACTCAATACTCTGTAATAACCTATATGGGAAAAGAATGGATATATGTATATGTATAACTGAATCACTTTGCTGTACACCTGAAACCAACACAACACTGTAAATCAACTATACTCCAATATAAAATAAAAATTAAAAAAATCTAAGTAGAAAATAAGTATCATAAGGTAGGTACAGATAAACTGAAATCTAGAGGAAGGAGATAATTGGACTAACTGGGAAGAATCAGGAAATGCTGACTAGTCAGCTTGCGAGCTGGATCTTACGAAGTGGATAAGATTCAGCAATGCAAAGATGGGTGCATGCATGGCGCATGGGCACGTGTGTGTTCCAGATATTCTAGTCCTAGGGCATCATGGATGTAAAGCCAGAGATACGAGAAAGTGTTGGACATGTACTTGGAACTGAAAGTGGTTCTGTAACTTTTGAACACAAGGATTGTGAAAATTGCAAAGGCTGTAGAAAAATATTGGGCTGGTAAAGAAAATGATGGTCATATCCTGGAGAGCCATGATGCCAGGCCAAGGGATTAGAATTTTATTTTATTGTCAACAGGGAGTCACTGAAGCATTTCTATTACATAATGATTTGATCAGAGTTGTACTTTAGCAAAATTAGGCTAACAGTAGCACATTCCATGGATTACTATGGAAGAATCTAGAGGCAGGAAAGTGAGCTAGGAAAGTTTTAAAAGGTTCCATGTGTAAAACTATATCTTTGCCTTTACAGGATCCATAGGGCTTATTATGTGAAACATTGCCATAAAGGGAGAATGTACTATGAAAGAGATCCAATGCTTTGCTTTGAGAGCATTTTATATGGAAAGGGCATAGATTAAAAGTTAATGAAGAATTAAACACTGTCATTCTGGCATTTATCCTCTTGGGTTTTTAATATAGAAACTCTTGCAGTTACAAAGTTGGATATCAAAGTAAAAATCATTATAACCTGAAAATTATTCATAAACAAACTGTCATTTATGAAATTAGTGTCCACTGAGGCATTTTCCCCAACAGTTAATCCTAGTGTCCACCTCAATATTTGCATAGTTCACTATCTTTCCAGTTGTCACGTGTGGTATATCTCTGTAATGGGATTATCGTTGTATCCATTTTGATTGAGACATGGTCATAGAAATTTAAAGTAGATGATCAAAGTAATTAGATTAAACAAATCAAGACTATCAAAGGGTCAGGTTATAGGAAACTGGAAAAAATTTGAGGGAGATAATTTCTTTGGAAAAAGCCTGGTTGGGATTCTCATTGTCTGAGCATGAGTATATGTAGGGATGTGCCTGATCCCCATTTTGGGTTTTCAGCTGGATCACTAGACAGCCTGAAGTGTGTCCTTTGCAGTGGAAGATCACAGTGAATCCAGTGCTAAAGGACAAACATCTGGCAAAGCAGCCTGGATCAGAGAGAAGAAGGCAGCATGAGGACTTCTGCTACAGAATGAAGGAACCTACCTCAAGAAGATGCCAGAAGTTGAGAGGAAATACTAAGCACTGAGCCAAAGGACAACAATGATTCTGTCACAAAAGGTAAAGTTGGAGAAATCCAGCAACAACATTCCCCAAGACACAGAAAAAAGTGGTAGATTTAAGCATTTCTCTGGAAAGAGCTTGAGACCATCTTATAACTGGAGCAATCACTTGAGAAATTTTTGCTCCTTGGGTTCTTCTGCCTCTTTCCACATCTCTCTGAACTTTACTTGCTTTAATCTTGTTTGGAATTGGCAGAAACTCTAGTTAGTAATAGAAGGGATAGAAATGTCATGTAGAAATACCATATGTGGAAAGAGGGAAGAAGGAACTTACACCCTGCCTCCTCAAGAAACTACGGGGTGTTTCTGCTAACAAGTGCAGAATTTAGAAAGATTAACTTGTATCAAGTTCAAACTTTCAATTATTATTTGAGTCTGGACTTTTAAAATTTTTAATTGGAACTGAGTACTAGGAGTAACCAGTGAACTCATGGGGACTGCTTGAGTTTTTATCTGGGAATGGGAATGGGGGAAGAAAGGTACACACATCAACTTGATTTAAAAGGAAAGTGAGAACATGATAAAGTTCCTTTAGTGTTTTCATTTTATGACTCCTGCTTGTTTAACTTAACAATATGGTGTTGCAAAAGCAAAAGTGAAATTGCAAGTTATGAAAGTGATGAAGGTTTTCACGAAGTCAATGAAAGTGATATTGGGATCTGATTAACAAATAAAAAGTTGGCAGAGTTAGGAATTTAACAATCAAGGAACAGAAAGTCAAAACGCATGATGTTCAGAGAGTAAATCAGGGCATGGACATCTTTTCTATCGTGATGTAATGATGGTTAGAGTACTACATGCATTTGTCAAAAGTCATTAAGGTATCCACTTAACATTAGGGGATGTTATTGTATATAAAGTATACACCAGTCAAAAAGGAGAGAATTAATGAATATGAAAGGATTAAATAAGATAATTGGAAAAATGATGAACCCTTTCAATATATTTTGCCAAAATGACTCTCATTTTGACCTGCTGAGAAAGTCACGCATGAAGTACAGAATGTCATTTCAGGTTATCATATAATTTTGTCAGAAAAAACTTGACAAGTGAAAACCAAAATATTATTTGTGTTTCGTATTCATTTACAAATAACTTTAGATAAATGCCTACATTTTATTTAAAATAAATGAACCACACATATTTTCATAATTTTACTAAATAGTTGAAGACGCAAAGTCCCAAGAAACTTTTTTATCATATATTCTGAATTCATTATTTTACAAATTTAGCTTTAAAAACATCAGTAATTCATAAACATAGTTCTAAAAGAAAAATAATATTAAACTCACACATATAACTTCTATCCTTTTACCCTAGAGATAGAGTTATATTAAACTTTTGGTTAAATAAATATTCACAACTTATTTTTCTATGTAACATTTTTTCACAGTTAAATCATAAAGTGTATCATAGTTATATTTCCTTTCTTGTAAACGTTTTTCTTAGAGCTAACCTATTTTTGTTAATTTTCTTTTATTATCATGCAGTATATATATTTTTTTGAATTTTTGAATTTTATTTTATTTTTTATACAGCAGGTTCTAATTAGTTATCCATTTAATACATATTAGTGTATATATGTCGATCCCAATCTCCCAATTCATCACACCGCCACCATCACCCCCCCGCCACTTTCCCCGCTTGGTGTCCATACGTTTGTTCTCTCCATCTGTGTCTCAATTTCTGCCCTACAAACCGGTTCATCAGTACTATTTTTCTAGGTTTGACATATATGCGTTAATATACGATATTTGTTTTTCTCTTTCTGACTTACTTCACTCTGTATGACAGTCTCTAGATTCATCCATGTCTCTACAAATGACCCAATTTCAATCCTCTTTATGGCTGAGTAATATTCCACTGTATATATGTACCACATCTTCTTTATCCATTCATCTGTTGATGGGCATTTAGGTTGCTTCCATGACCGGGCTATTGTAAATAGTGCTATAATGAACACTGAGGTACATGTGTCTTTTTGAATTATGGTTTTCTCTGGGTATATACCAAGTAGTAGGATTGCTGGTTCATATGGTAATTCTATTTTTAGTTTTTTAAGGAACCTCCATACTGTTCTCTATAGTGGCTGTATCAATTTACATTCCCACCAACAGTGCAAGAGGGTTCCCTTTTCTCCACACCCTCTCCAGCATTTGTTGTTTGTAGATTTTCTGATGATGCCCATTCTAACTGGGTGAGGTGATACCTCATTGTAGTTTTGATTTGCATTTCTCTAATAAGTAGTGATGTTGAGCAGCTTTTCATGTGCTTCTTGGCCAACTGTATGTCTTCTTTGGGAAAATGTCTATTTAGGTCTTCTGCCCATTTTTTTTATTGGGTTGTTTGTTTTTTTAATATTGAGCTGCATTAGTTGTTTAAATATTTTGGAGATTAATCCTTTGTCCATTGATTCGTTTGCAAATATTTTCTCCAATTCTATGGGTTGTCTTTTTGTCTGTTTGTAGTTTCCTTTGCTTTGCAAAAGCTTTTAAGTTTCAGTAGGTTCCATTTGTCTATTTTTGTTTTTATTTCCATTACTCTAGGAGGTGGATCAAAAAAGATCTTGCTGTGATTTATGTCTAAGAGTGTTCTTCCTATGTTTTCCTCTAAGAATTTTATAGTGTCCGGTCTTATATTTAGTTCTTTAATCCGTTTTGAGTTTATTTTTGTGTATGGTGTTAGGGACTGTTCTAATTTCATTCTTTTACATGTAGCTGTTGAGTTTTCCGAGCACCACTTACTGAAGAGACTGTCTTTTCTCCATTGTATATACTTGCTTCCTTTGTCATAGATTAGTTGAGCATATCTGCATGGGTTTATCTCTGAGCTTTCTATCCTGTTCCATTGATATATATTTGTGTTTGTGCCAGTACCATATTGTCTTGATTACTGTAGCTTTGTAGTACAGTCTGAAGTCAGGGAGTCTGATTCCTCCAGCTCCATAATTTTACCTCAAGACTGCTTTGGCTATTCAGGGTCTTTTGTGTCTCCATAAAAATTTTAAGACTTTTTTGTTCCAGTTCTGTAAAAAATGCCATTGGTAATTTGATAGGGATTGCATTGAATCTGTAGATTGTTTTGGGTAGTATAGTTATTTTCACCATATTGATTCTTTCAGTCCAAGAACATGGCATATCTCTCCATCTGCTTGTATCATCTTTTGTTTCTTTTATCAGTGTCTTATAGTTTTCTGCATACAGGTCTTTTGTCTCCTTAGGTAGGTTTATTCCTACGTATTTTATTCTTTTGTTGCAATGGTAAATGGGAGTGTTTCCTTAATTTCTCTTTCAGATGTTTCATCATTAGTGTATAGGAATGCAAGAGAGTTCTGTGCATTAATTTCGTATCCTGCAACTTTACCAAATTCATTGATTAGCTCCAGTAGTTGTCTGGTGTCATCTTTAGGATTCTCTATGTATAGCATCATGTCATCTACAAACAGTGACAGTTTTACTTCTTCTTTTCCAGTTTGTATTCCTTTTATTTCTTTTTCTTCTCTGATTGCTGTGGCTAGGACTTCCAAAACTATGTTGAATAATAGTGGTGAGGGTGGACATGCTTCTCTTGTTCCTGATCTTAGAGGAAACGCTTTCAGTTTTTCACCATTGAGAATGATGTTTGCTGTGGGTTTGTCATATATGGTCTTCATTTCGTGGAGGTAGGTTCCCTCTTTGCCCACTTTCTGGAGAGTTTTTATCACAAATGGGTGTTGAATTTTGTCAAAAGCTTTTTCTGCATCCATTGAGATGATCATATGGTTTTTATTCCTTAATTTGTTAATATGGTGTATCACATTGATTGATTTGCATATATTGAAGAATCCTTGCATCCCTGGGATAAATCCCACTTGATAGTGGGGTATGATTCTTTTAATGTGTTGTTGGATTCTGTTTGCTAGTATTTTGTTAAGGATTTTTGCATCTATATTCATCAGTGATATTGGTCTGTAATTTTCTTTTTTTGTAGTATCTTTGTCTGGTTTTGGTATCAGGGTGATGGTGGCCTCATAGAATGAATTTGGGAGTGTTCCTTCCTCTGCAATCTTTTGGAAGAGTTTGAGAAGGATGGGTGTTACCTCTTCCGTAAATGTTTGATAGAATTCACCTGTGAAGCCATCTGGTCCTGGACTTTTGTTTGTTGGAAGATTTTTAATCACAGTTTCAATTTCATTACTTGTGATTGATCTGTTCATATTTTCTGTTTCTTCCGGGCTCAGTCTTTGAAGGTTATACCTTTCTAAGAATTTGTCCATTTCTTCCATTGTCCATTTTATTGGCATATAGTTTCTTGTAGTAATCTCTCATGATCCTTTGTATTTTTTTTATTTTTATTTTTTGCGGTACGCGGGCCTCTCACTGTTGCAGCCTCTCCTGTTGTGGAGCACAGGCTCCGGACACACAGGCCCAGCAGCCATGGCTCACGGGCCCAGCCACTCTGCAGCATGCGGGATCTTCCCGGACCAGGGCACAAACCCGTGTCCCCTGCATCAGCAGGCGGACTCTCAACCACTGCGCCACCAGGGTAGCCCAATCCGTTGTATTTTTGAAGTGTCAGTTGTTACTTCTCCTTTTTCATTTCTAATTCTGTTGATTTGAGTTTTCTGCCGTTTTTTCTTGATGAGTCTGGCTAATGATTGATCAATTTTGTTTATCTTCTCAAAGAACCAGCTGTTAGTTTTATTGGTCTTTGCTATTGTTTTCTTTGTTTCTATTTCATTTATTTCTGCTCTGATCTTTATGATTTCTTTCCTTCTGCTAATTTTGGGTTTTGTTTGTTCTTCTTTCTCTAGTTCCTTTAGGTGTAAGGTTAGATTGTTTATTTGAGAATTTTCTTGTTTTTTGAGGTAGGCTTGTATTGCTATAAACTTCCCTCTTAGAACTGCTTTTGCTGCATCCCACAGGTTTTGGATCGTCGTGTTTTCATTGTCATTTTTCTCTTGGTATTTTCTGATTTCCTCTTTGAATTCTTCAGTGATCTCTTGGTTATTTAGTAACG